CCCCAAAACCCCAAAACCCCAAAACCCCAAAACCCCAATTTTGTAATAAATTTTCAAAAAAAATGGAGTCAATTCAGTCAAACTCAAGTGATAGTGAGTCTCTCTATGAGAGCACTCTTGAGCAAGTGATACAATATGACCGGAAGAGTGGGAAAGTAGTTGACCCTCGATCTCTGTGTGACCTAGACATCCGCCATTATAAGCAAGAGATAGAATACCAAGCTAATAGGTACAAAAGAGCCTTTTTTGTTAAATAAACTTGTTTCTTAAGCTAAAATAACTGTATTTATAGCGAATTCTCCAGCCCTGAAAAAGATGAAGAGCTTTACAGAGATTTATGAGTTAATAACGAAAGTATTTCCAAATCTATTATAAATAGTCATTCACGATAACCCATATGGCAAATTTTCAGCAATAGATCTTGATGAGTCGATCACACCCTACTCCAGAAAAATCACCGGAAGCAGTAGTAGATATCCAAAAGGCTCTGTAAAGGCAGAAGAGGTTAGTAGTGACTCCTCTCAGGAAGAAGTTGATAACTACAAGGCCATTAATAATTTCCAGACCTGAGAAACTGGAGCACCCACAAAGCATGTGGATAAATTCGAAATTGAAGAAGCCATGGTTCAAAATTCTGTCCACAAGCAAGCCTCCAAAAAGGTATGCTTAGTATAATCTCTCAGAAAAGAAAGAAGAAGAAAAAGCGGAAGGGAAAGAAGAAACATAGAAATACAGTCAAGATCATTCCTGGCCAGAAGAAGTAAGTCTCTTGTCCTCCAATCAGGTGGTTACCTACCAGTTTGCCTAATTCTGTTCAGGTATTACAACTTCACATTTTCCTCTGATGAGGAAGAGGAGACAAAGCAGACAACAACAAAGCAGAGTGATTCTTCCTTCCCTGAATTTGACTTTAATGATGAATTTGAGCCTCCAGAAGATGGAGTTGAAGAACAAATTGAGAAAAAGGACTTGCATAGATTAGTTTTCAGCAAAGGCCAAGATGAAATTTCCCAGCAGTAAAATCCTTGCTTTAATTTTTAGATACGAATACGGCTTTATTACAAAAGAAGACCTGGCCAGAAGAGACCATAGAGGGAATACACCTCTTCACTTGGCTGCTAAGCTAAGTAAACTCGATGAGGATTACCTCCTAGTAGTTGAATACCTCTTAGAGATTGGAGCAAAGCACAAAGAGAAGGATTTTGATGGTTGGACAATCATAGACGAAGCTATCAGCACAACAAATATCAGACTCCTAGGTATAATCTATGACTTCTGAGCTGAACGGAAGAGGAACCAATGGAAAAACAGGGATAAGATCATCAACAATCTCAGGAACATTCCTGATTTCTATCTTGAATTGAAATGGGAATTTAACAGCACTGTAATCCCATTCCTATCAAAATTTACTCCAAAAGATACGTACAAGATCTGGAAATTCGGCAGCAGCCTTCGGCTTGACTTCACCTTAGTCGGTGTAGATAAACTCAAAGGAAAGAGAAGAGACATGACCATAATCTTCAGAGATCCCTCTGAAGCTGACGATCCATACAATGAATGATATGTCCTTCTGATAAATCGCTCGAAAGGAATAGTGGTTGACCCAATTGAAGAGCTTGATTACGAAGAGAAGATAGCTGTGCTTGAAGATATCCTAAACTCAGACTCAGTCAAAGCAGACGTTGAAGTCTCAGACCCAGATTTTAGACCAGCCACAAACATGTGGGGCAGTGAGAAAACCTCCAAAATTAATGGCTCAAAATGCTCTGAGTTCAAACTCTCTTTTGAAAGCAACAAAAGGTTTGAAAAATAAAGGTACCGATATATTCCAGTGGACTGAAGAAGAGTATTTTGATACCTTCATAACCCAAGAAGACCACGAGGATAGAATTTTAGATGAAAACCCAGACCTCGAAATTAAGCAAGGGACTGTCCAGAACAAAACTGAGAAACGAAACGCTTACTTCTGGCTAGACCCTAGCTTCGAGCTTACTCCTGGGCAGTTCTTTAGTATCCTGGAAACACTTCAGAGTGGAGGAAATATCGGAATTCAAAAGTTATACGAGTACCTCCAACATGATAACATAAAGCAAGGGCTGGAAGAGAATGGGTTCCCCGTGAAAATATCGATCCCATTCGGTTACACAATCAACGCGAAAGTACTGTTCAATAACTTCGAGTTCATCGAAGATTATCGGTCATCGTACCGTCACATACTTCCGCAAGATGCAGAAGATATAGCAGAAGTATTCCAAATAAGCCCCGATTTTGAGAAAGTCTCTCGTAAAGAAGGAATGAAGACTATGAAAAATAAGAAGAAAAGACTTGCTTTTGCTAATTTCATTCATTCCTAAGCTATTATTTTCTAAAATAATTCAATTTCAAGCCAAGCAAATGGGGTTTTGGGGTTTTGGGGTTTTGGGGTTTTGGGG